TTCACCCCCTTTTCAAATCGCTAATTTTTTTTTTTTGCTAAGCACATTGCCAACAGAATAAAGACTACCTGTCCCAGCTTCCCTTGCAGCTAGAAGTGAATATCTGACTCTATTTCCCAGCATCCTTTACAACCAGGTGTGGCCAATGAGGTGAGAGGCAAGTTGAAGGAGACTTTAGGGGAAATCTCTTCCTAAAGGAAGGTGTGAGCTCTACTAGCTTTCCTCTGTTTCCTTCTACTTCAGGCCTGGCACATAGTCATGATGACTGGAGCTACAGTAGTCACTTTAAACCTTCCATTGATCTTGAGGATAAAAGTCTGGTCTAGGACAATGGGATACAAAATCAAAGCTGATGTCCCTGAAGGTGCTTTGGGACTGCCATACTGACCCTGAACTGCCTCTGTCCAGATTGCTTTTCCTAAATGTGGATGGCAAATTAGTGAATGAACAAAAGAACTTCATGCTTGCTTAAGACATATTTTTTCTGTTTTATTTGGTTATGTGCACTCAAATTAACTGTACCTTAGAGACCTAAGTAAAAGTGATTAAGTTCACTCCCCCTTGAGCCTATAGTATATGGGAGCCCAAAGCCCTCCCTGAGATCCCTATGAGTCCCTGGGCTGGATAGTCCCATGGTACCCACCTCTGCTCTTATCAGCTCTGCCTTGCTCTGAGCCCAACATAGAACCCAGTCTCCCCATTGGTTTCCACAAAAATGCATCAGGATCTGGGCACAGAATTGTCGCTCCCATGTACAGCAAACTTACAACCCATCAGACTTTACTATTCGTGCTGGGCTTTGTGCCACCCCACCTCCTACCAGTTCTCCCATAGCACTATAGCCAGAAGGACTCACTGTCTTTCTATTCCTGCTTCCCCCTTCCCTCTCTTCTTTCTCTGCTTTTTATATCCATATGCTTCTGCCTGACAGATAAGCAGCAGTTCACTGGACGCAGAACCTTTGTCCAAGCTGCCAGGTGCCCAGCATACAAAAGAAATTCTGCTTAATAGAATTCATTCAGGTTAGCAGGTAGCTGGAATTACCAATGACAGATTTTATCTGACATATGTATTTCTGAAGATTGAATAAAAGTCACAAAACTCCCATTCTTAATAGGTGTGAGTGTCTCTCTGAAATACTCCAGAATCTCAAAGTACATGAATGAGTGTTTGGGGATGAGTGGGAGAAGAAAGGTATTGGAACTCAGATCCCACTGCTGGCTGGTCAGTGTCACCCATGGCTGCACCAATAATGCCTGGAGGACCCTTGCTTCTTCCTCTGTGAGCTACCAGCGTGGCTTTTAGGGATGGGTCTCTTGTTCTCCACCAGCAACTGTACCCATGGTTGACATATTTAAAACATGCAGTAAGGAAGCAACTTCTAAGCAGGAAAATCCTCTCCAGTTACTAAAAATCTACAACGTCATTTCTCTGGGGGTTTTGTTCCTTTGTAATTGTGTGCCTGTGTTTCTAAAGCAAATCCATTTAAACCTTCCAAGATAAGAGACACAGTGAAACATATCCATAGCCAATATCATGAGAAAGATCATAAGAATTAATTGCTAGCTTTAAATTTTAAAAATACTTTTATTTTTATTTGACATACAATAATTATATAAATTCATGGGGTACAATGTGACATTTCAGCACATGCATGTGATATGTGAGGATCCAATCAGTGATTGGAAAATATATCAACTGAGACAGTTCTTCTTTCTCACTGCCAGCTTTAAATTTATCTAGCTTCTACTGTTAATGCTTTTCCACTCATGTTGTCTCTTTAATCCTCACAACTCTCCTATAATATTGGCATTATATCCTTCATTTTATAGTTAAATAAACTGATAATCAGAGAGGTACAGCAGGTTGCCCAGCTATTAAGTGGGGAAGCCATAACAGCCATGCATTTTCCCATCCTATCCCAGGTCATCTTTTAAATAGCTCACATGCTTCCTGGTCATGGCCTAATTGGACACTTCCTTAGCAGAGAGCTGAGGTTTAAGGGACCACAGAAGGCAGCTAGAATAAGGAAGTCTGCAAAAGGTCTGTGTTAGGTAGGTGAAAGGACAAAACAAGGATTGCAGCAGACAATCCTGGGAAGCCAGGAGCAGGGAGAGGGTAGCATAAGCCTGGCCATCAGAAAGAGAACAAAACCAGGACAGTAGTGTCTTTATAACTGCACCGGCTTTTACTGTATCTTCTGTCCCCCAGGCCTTTTCCCATTCCTTTATTCTTTTCTGATGAAGGAACTTGCTGTGAATGAGATGGTTGAGGTCAAATGCAAGTCAAAAAGTAATCAGGAAGCAGGTGGATTCACACAGAGCCAGGCAGACCACAGGGGCAACGTGGAGAGGCTATCAATCCTCGGCCTCCTGCGGCAAAGAGAAAGGCTGTGGTTTGAATCAGGGCTCTCTGAGCAAAGTAACAAAAGTGCTGCAAGAAAGAAATCTCATTCTCAAGAATAGATTTTCAGAAAATCAAAATTGGAGTGTCTGACAGTAAGGGTCCTGTGGGAACGTCATACAGAGTCTGACGCATTGTCACAAACATAGGTGAGTCCAAACTTTCCAGCAGGGTATTCAGAGATCCTAGGTCATCAATATTCAGTGCTCCATGAGCAAAGACAGCCCCACTGGGAGAAATGGCACCAGCCAGCCTGAGATTTGCACAGGGAGCATGTGCAAATGGGGTGGGGCAGCCTGTGGAGGGGACTGAGGTTTTGTTAGTAGCGTGTGTGCACCACACTTTACCTTCAGGCTCAGCCGACAAAACCACTCTTGTCTCTTTGCTGCTCCTCTGATCTTGCCAAGTAAAATTGCACCCTCCAACCATGGAAAGAACTTCCATTAATTAAAACCCACCATGTCAGACACTACCATAGTATATGCTATGATGCAGATAATCTCACCTTCTTTTCCAGTGAAAGAATCTCACGCCCAGGGATGGCAAGGAGTCTAATCGTCTCAGGTAAGTCAGGGGTCCTCAGTGTGGCAGTCCCAAAATCAGAGCACAGCAGATATTCTCAGGGCTCATCATCCGTAGGGTGCCTCTGAGTGAAACTGCCTGGTTCACATATACAGGATGAATAAACTGCCATAAACTGGGGCACAGCCTTCCATTAAGAAGGATTCCCTCACCCCAAGATTTCCTGGGCAGGCTCATAGTTGTAGAACCACAGCGGGATGTCCTCGGGGAGCTGGAGCCTGTACAGAATGTTCTTCCATGAGACCTCAGAAGATCCCTCACCTATCTCTGCTTTAGATGAACCTGGTTGTGTATGCCTGGAGTTTCACCAAGCTTTGAGAAAGAATTCAATAAATACTGCCACTTTGTGCCCATGGCATCTCCCCACATGTTACAGTTTGTACTGCAACCACCATGTTCTTAGACTTCTCTGGAAGAATGTCAGTGCCATCACACTCCTGCTGGGAAGTAGCTGGAGCTCTGATTTATAAGCGGGGATTCCTTGTCAGAGGCATTGCGTCATCCTTTGATATGTCATCTACCTGAGTTCTTCCATCACCCCCTTGAGGCAGATGTTATCATTATCCCCACAAAAGGAGGAAACCAAAGAGAGAAAGTTAATGTTCCCTAGAGGCAAAGGGTAGATACGCAACTGGAACTTGGACTTTTCTGTCTTCATCACACCAACATCCAATCTCCCCAAAGGGTCTCTGGAACTTCAAAATCTAGGCCCTGCCCCTGTGATGGTCCTCCAGAGCCTCGAATATTCCTTTGGACACAGGGTCAAGATCTGAAGCTGCAGCATCTTTGCCTCAGAGGAAGTCACAGGCTCATGGGTGGCCTAGGATGTCTCAATACCCATAACATTTGTTGGTCCAACCTATGCTGGGATTATAACAAGAGAAACACTAACATGTATGACTCTGCTGCACATTTGAGAATTTTAGCCCCATTACCTTTGTAAGATGAATACCTGCCTGAAAAGTCTTCAAACCACAAAAAAAAAAAAAAAACTGCTATTTCAAGCACTCTGGAAAGGACAGGGTTCTAGAACTTTATCTGTTACTTAAAATTCTAGTCTTTAAAGGCTGCCAATTTAGATAGCTTCCACAATATCACAGCCTGTAATAAGCTTTCCTTGAGGCCTAACAGAGACAGAAAAAACCGCATGATCTCTTATCTAGTCAGGGGTACTTCGGCCTTGTCCTCTGGTCTTGTCTGAGAATGGCACATGACTTTGCTGTATCTTATTTTAGAACAAAGCGTTTAGATTAAATGCCTTTAGTTTATCTATGATCTTTTTAAGGATTTTTTTCTTACCTGTGAAAAACAGTGTTTTATTGTCACCTTCAAAGCAGAAAAGCGGACTCTTAGAAATGGACAAATCACCCACAGGTAGGAAATATAAATGCGTTTTGAACTCCTGGGAATAAAGGTGCAGTCCACTCAATTGAAAGTAAATATGAGCTGGCTAATTCTAATTTTTTTCTCGTTTCATTTAAAATCCAGTTCTGGCAACTACCCTTAGGCTCTGCACACCAAATGAAAGACATTGAGAGAACTTGACCCTTCAAGGAATAAGCCAGCTTCTCTTTTTTTTTCTTTTTCTTTTTTTTTTTTTGTCTTTTTGAGACAGTGTCTCACTGTGCAGTTCAGGCTGGCCCTGAGCTCACTTTGTAGCCCAGGCTGGTCTTGAACTTGCAACAATCCTCCAGCCTCAGCCTCCCGAGTGCTGGGATTACAGGCGTGTGCCACCACGTCCAGGTTTGCCAGCTTCTCTAGAGCCATCCAGAATATTCCTTAACAATGAAACAAGAAGACTGGCCTCACCATACAAAGCCCTTTAAAAGAAGACTAAATATGCTGTGAGTATAATTTCTACACTATGTGGGCTCTGTGATCACACTGCTGAAGGGCTATGTGTTTGTGGTGCATTTTTCTCTTGTTCAGCTTTAGTCTTACTTTCGTTTTATTTTGCAAGAGTGAAAGAGGAACAGCCTCCTAAGCAGGCCACCAGCATGATCCCGGCAGTTTATGGTCACCAGCTTCAGCTGGGGAGGCCAGAAGTGCCCTTGCTACCCTGTGAAACTTGGGCTTTCCTTTGTCCTGCAGTTTTTAGCTCTCGTCTGCAAGCTGAAAACTCCCTTCCCTCCTCCCAGCCCAAGACCCTTGTCTCTCTCTGCTTACTGAGTTGTGGGTCTGTGAGTGTTCCTGCGGGTTTTTATTTGCTTCACACTTATTGAAAAGCGTGGGGACTGGGGGTGCATGACAAAGAGGAAGAGGAGGGGAGAGAGGAAGATTGTTCTGTTCATTATCCCTCACTTGGCTGCCTCTGCAGAAAGGTGGTGACTCTGGCGGAGAGCTTGGAGATGAAGTTCCCGTGCAGAATCCTCGCAGTGGCCCCTCTGTTCCTACTCCTGCTGCTTGACTCCTCAGCCTCTCCAGCCTCTGACAATCAGTTCAGCATGGGCCACTCCAATGGCCATCGCTGTGCAGGTATGTATTTTTGTGTTTTTTAATGTGGACATAATAATTAGGTCTCATACTTTGCTTGCACAATAGATCACTCACTTAATAACGTGCGTGGCTATAAAATTCCAAGGCACCAATAACCTCATAGATACTGGTAATTTTTGAGTCTCAGGGTAAGCATTCACACAATATGCATGTAGGTGTAGACAGAAGTGTAATGTGTGCTTGCTAGTTTGACAAGTCAGAAAAGTTTTCTACTGCATTGGTGGGTGGAATTTGTTTCTCTTGAGTAAACAGCTATAACAGCCTGAAATTCTTAGCACCTCCTCATCACTTTGACCTCAGACTGTGAGTTTGCTTGCTGCCTGCCTTCTCCCCTCTTGCCCATCTCTTACTCGTTATGGAATCTTGAATTAGTGATTAACCCTCACACTGCCTCTGTATCCTTAGCAGTGAAACAGGGTAATAATAGCTACGACACAGGGACGATGTGAGAACTGGGGTCATGCATGTGAATTTGTGCTATTTGCACAGTTAGGAGTCAACCTTCTTAGCTTCCTTCATTGTTTCAGGGGGTCCACACTTGGTGGTCAGCTGCAAAGTGACTGACTTATTTCTTGCTGAAATATTTTATTTCCACATTGTTTTTGGTTTGTGTTTGGTTTGGTTTTTTGGCTTCTTCTGGAAGTGAGTCAGAGGTAACACGAGACCTTTGATATTCATATTGTACCTGGAATGTCCATACGTGTGGTGAGCATTTAGATGGCACAGTCCACAAAGCCACACAGACTCTGAGCTGAGTAGCAATTGTTCAGTCAGTAGCAATTCAGTAGCAGCTGTTCAAGATAGGATTCTAGCTTGAGAATCCAGAAAAAGGAACCTACAGGTAATATGCTGGCCATATGCTGTACCCGGAAAATCTGGACAGAGAGTCTAACACCTAGGAATTATTTGTGGAAACAGTATGAAAAAATACCTGAATTAGCCCTGCTGTACAAAACCATGACCTCAGGTCATCATCCATGCTAAAGAATATACCTCCAGCTTTTAAGTTACAACCTAAACATCCTGATTCCTTGGAAATCTACTCTCCAGAGAGTGGAAAACAGAAGTTGGAGCTACCTCTACTGCATGCCTGGGAAGTCACCCGTCTCTTCATTGGTTTCCTTATGTGCTTACTTACTGCCAGTCTATTCTCTCAAAACAAAACCCTGAAGCCTGTCAGATGGAAATATACTTGAGAAAGTCTTGAATGAGGTCAGCTCTACTTCTAAGCTGGTTGCACATCAAACTTTTAGGTTAAGACAAGTTATTTACTCTGGACCTTCACCTGGACCAAATGGACCCGAAATACTCATTCCCTTCCCTGCCTCATTCCAATAAGGCCACAGAATGTTAGAAGGAGGTAGTGAGGAGATTCCTGGTTGGAGTTGTCCTGGTTACCTGTCGTGTCCTAGCCAATTAAAAGTACATATATTATTTATAATTTGCGAGTGAGGAATTTGTTCAGAGCCTGGCTAGTGATATTTCTTCTCCCTGTAGGAGTGATTGAGGTGACCAAGTAGTATTTGGATGGTGGGTTGATGGGTCCAAGAAAGCTGCACACACATGTCTGGCACCTTGGAGATGGGAGATGGCTAGAAGTCTGGCTCACCTAGGGACACATATTTGCGCACCTACGAATGGCAGTGTCTGGATGGTAGAACTTCTTACACAGCGGTTCAGGGATCCCAGAGGCAGGATTCCAAAACCCAGGAACTAGAAGCTGCCTATCCCTCAAGGCTTGGGTCTGAACATGGGCCCACGGCATGGTTTCTGCCTTCCAGTTGCAACTCAGCTTCTGGCTAACTCAGCCTGTGTGACTTGGTCATTTGTTATTGTAACCAGAAAGGTGCATATGAGATGACCCATTCACTGACTGACATCTACTGAGTACTGGCCATGTAGCTGGTGGGTTGCTGAAAGGGGTCGCTGCTGGTGTGTTCCTACTGCTTGAAGTCAGTTGGGTGTGGAAATGGACATTTGTGGGGAAGGGATTTTCCTGAAGTGCCCTCAGAGAAAAGACCAGTAAGAAAAGGAAAGTGCCAGGAGGGGGAGGAGGGAGGAGACCTGAGCCGGAGCCTCAAACCAGGACCTTAGCACATCACAGTGAGCACTGGGGCTGGGAGGGTCCTTCAAAGCTGCCCTGAGGTGCTCGAGGCCTGAGCCCTCCCATACTGCAGCTACCAGATGAGAACTGACCCCAGGGAAGGTACCCTAACTGAGACATTTCTCTGGCCGGGTACTTCCATGATCCCTCAGATCAGCACTCCAAGAATCTAAGGGGAGCCAGTGCCTCTGAAAAGGGACCCAGGCATGCCCTTTCACAGGGCCATGTGAGGGGAATGTCCTAGGAAGCAGCAAGGGATGCTGGCTCGCAACCTGTGGTTCAAGCAAGAACTTCAGACAGGAGGCAGGACAGGAGATGGAATCACCGGTGGGGGTTTGCTAATTCAAACTCTGTTGTCAACACCCTAACAGCTTTCTGACAAAAAGTAGGATTTGATGCCTTCCAAGTCAGCTGCAAGAAGGATCCCGAAACATTTCCATACATTCACTCGTCACCTGCTCCCTCAGTTGCCACCATATGCTAGACCCAGTGCTCTGAGCCAAAGTCACAAGATAAATACTAGCTATTTTAATAGTGCATGCCTTCGGGAAAGTCAGTGTCCAGTTTTGTGAAAAACAAGAGCCTGGAGACTGGTAAAGATTACAGTCCTTTAGGTGAAGAATGAACTGGGCACTGAGCAGAGGCGATAAGATGCCCTTGTCAAGCACCCTGTGCATAGCAAAAACAATGGTGGAGGTGCAGAGAACCAGACAGCACGGGTCAAAGGCACTCAGCTCAGAGACAGAAAGCAGAGGACAGAATGTTCACAGCCACCAGAGGAAGGGGGAATTATAGCCTGAGTGAAGTGAGAGGAATATGTTGAAATTTCAGAATTTTAGAAGTAGTTCTGCACAAAGATAGCTGATAACAGAGGAAGCAACCGTTATCTCTGAGACTCTGCACCAGATACCTCCTTCCTGAAAGATCCTGGCCAACAAAACCTTGTTGAGCATCCAGTTGGATGTAAATCAGCCCAATTGGTCAAGAAGGATTCATCTTTGTTAGATATCATCTATCTTTTGATCACCATGCTTATATAAAGTCTCACCTGGGTCACAGAGTACACTTTTGCCTTGATTAATATCATAATAAAATACTATGGCCACCTTCCCAACACATGGAAGTGACTCTTCTTTCCTATTTTTCATGGAGTTCCATTGACTTAGTTGAGTTACATCCATTTCAAAGACGATGGGCATTCACACTTGCTCTTTATTGATAAGACTTGTTTTGCTACTAGTTTATCATCCTGTTTGCAACCTCCAAAGCTTCTCCCTGGGGTATTCACCACCTATATTTTTGTGAAGCTGAATCTGGAGCAACTGGAGTGATGCTTACAGAAATAATTATTATATCCAAGAGATCATAAGCCATGCAAATTAAATTGATATGTTAATAATTACTAGAGGTATTAGCATTTATTGAGAATTTGCTGTGTGATGAATAGTCTTCCATAGGGTTTATGTGTATTAATTCATTTAATCATCATAATGACCCCATGAAGTACATATTAGCAGGTAAAAAAATTTGAGGCAGAGAAGTAACTTGTTCAAGGTTACACAGCTAGTTAAAACTTGGCTTCTCACTCTTTGCTGTAATTCTAACAGCATATCCATTTTAAGGATATACTGCATTTTATTTATTTATTGGTACATGTTTATGATACATAATAATTACATTTATCTTGGAGAATTGGTACATATATACATCATATCTTAATCATTTCTATTTCCTCTTCCCCTTTATACTCTCTATCCCATGTTATTTATCTATTCATTATTTATGGACTTCTGGGTTGTTCTTACTTCTCAGCTATGGTGAATAATTTCCCTATGAATATTTATATGCAAATTTTCATGTGGACTGTGTTTTCATTTTTCTTGGGTATATAATTAAGAATGGAATTTCTGGGGCATAGGCTAACTCTACCTTTAGCACTATAAACAACTCTGACACTTTTCCGGAGCACACGCACTAATTTACATTTCCACCCATAGTGTAGGAAGGCCGTGACTTCTCCACATTCTCACCAGTACCTGTTATTATCTTTCTTTTTATAGCCACCCTAGTAGGTATGGAATGACATATTGTGGCTTTGATTTGTTCTCAAATGATAATAATGTTGAATATCTTGCCATGTGCTTTTTGCCTACTTCTAGATCTTCTTCAAATAAATATCAGATGAGATTGGGCACATGCAGGGTGGTATGGCTATAGATTGAAGAAACAGCAATCAAGTCTTTGGCCCATTTTTATATGGCAAGTTTGTCATTCTATTATAAATTTCAAAATATATTCTAGATAACAGTCTTCTATCAAATTATGATTAACAAATATTTTCTCCAATTCTTTAGATATTTCTTCACTTTTATAATGATGTCTCCCCAAGGACTTCCTTATTTATTCTTGTGATTTGTGTATCATATATAAGATCAATGTTCTTAAACTTGTTGTTTTTCTCTTGCCTTTTGTCCATTAGTTTATCTTATTTCCCAGACACTGAGCTCCTATCTACCATTTTGGCAACGAGAAGTGTAACACATAGGACTGCAATTAAGAGGAACTAAATTTGAACTGTGAACATAGTTCATTTCCAGAGTGCGTGCTTAGTGTGTGTCAGGCCCTGGTTCAATCCTTAGCACATAAACAAATAAATATGGAATCAAAATGAGCAAAGCTAAGCAAAAAAGAGAGAAAACTTTCTTTCGAGAATCTGAAGAATGGAGTTCAGAATCTAAAGGCAGAAAATCAGTCAGACCTAAAGTCAAGACATGACTGCAAGGACTTCGGGAACCTTTCTCCTGGCTGGTGGTTGCTGGCCCTGCAGCTGTGTACAGATGAACTGAGCTTATTGCTCTCAGCCCTCTGGCTGACT